ACTGATGATATGGAGCTTTTCCATCATCTCTTTCCGCAGATGTAGTCAATTTGATTTCTATGTATCCCATCTGATGAGGTCCATGTGTATAGAGGTCTTTTATGCTGTTTAAAAAAGGTATTTTCCATGAACAAATCATTGGTCTTACAAACTTCTATCATGCAATCTCTATCATTGTTTCTATCACCAAGGCCATATTTTCCAACTACTGATCCCTCCTCTTTGCTTCCAACCTTTGCATTCTAATCACCAGTAATTATCAATACATTTTGATTGCATGTTTGATCAATTTTAGACTGAAGACATTGGCAGAATTCTTCAATTTTGTTGTCACTGGATTTAGTGGTTAGTGTATACATTTGAATAATAGTGGCATTAACTTGTGTTCTTTGTAGACATATGGGACATTACCCTATCACAGACAGATCTCCAATGTAGAGATGCTAAATCAACTGGAAGAAGTGAGGAGGTACAAGAGCTGAACAGATCATTTCAAAGGTCAGTTCGAGAAGACAAAGTAAAATATTATAATGAAATGTGCAAAGGTCTAGATTTTGACAACTAAAAGGGAAGAACATGCTCAGCATTTCACCAGCTGAGGGAACTGAAGTTAAAATTCAAACCTCAATTTGAAGTATTGAAGGATTCTATAAGCAAAATATTGAATGATGCAGAAGCATCAAAAGAAGATGGAAGGAATGCACAGTCACTATACCAAAAAGAAATCCTGTGTGTTCAACCATTTCAAGAGGTAACATATGATCAAGTGCCAATGATCTAGAAGGAAAAAGTCCAAGGTGCATTGAAGGCATTGACAAAGAACAAGGCACCAGGACTTGATGGAATACAAATTAAAATCTTTCAACAAACTGATGCATCACTGGATGTACTCATTCATCTGTGCTAAGAAATTTAGAAGGCAATTACCTGGTCAACTGACTGGAAGAGATCCATATTTGTGCCCATTTCAAAGAGAGGTGATACAATGGAATGTGGAAATCATCAGACAATATTGTTGATATCACATTCACAGAGACATTCCAGAGTTTCAAGCCAGTTTCAGAAGAGAACGTGGAATGAGGAATATCATTGTTGATGTCCTATGGATCTTGGCTGAAAGCAGAGAATACCAGAAAGATGGTTACCTTTGCTTTATTGACTATGCAAAGGTTATCAATTGTGTGGATCATGACAAGCTATGGGTAACATTGAGAAGTATAAGTATTCCAGAACACTTAATTGTGATCATGAGGAACCTATACACACACCAAGAGGCAGTTGTTTGTACAAAACAAGGTAACACTGAATGGTTTAAAATTAGGAAAGGTATGCACCAAGGTTGTATTTTTCCACCATATTTATTTAATCTGTATGCTGAACAAATAATCTGAGAAGCTGAAATATATGAATTAAAATGAGGCATCAAGATTGGAGGAAGACTCATTAACAACCTCCAATATGCAGATGATACAATCTTGCTTGCTGAAAGTGAAGAGATCTTAAAATACTTACTGGTGAAGATCAAAGACCACAGCTTTCAGTATGGATTGCATCTCGATGTAAAGGAAACAAAAATCCTCACCACTAGGCCAATAAACAACACCCATCTCAATGGAGAAAAGATTGAAGTTGGCAATCAGTTTTTGCTCGGATCAATCATCAACACTCATGGAAGCAGCAGTCAAGAAAGCAAACAACGGCACAAGAACACTCACACTTGCAGATAATACCCACTTGACCTGGGTTCAATGACTGGATGATCAAAGCTCAACCAGAAGAAGGAAGATGAGGGGGAAAGAGTAATCTGATACAATTTGATGAACTTGACCTACACCTATGGATGCAGTAGCTCAAAAGAGGGAACAAATCCTTACAGCAAGGATCATTCCTACCCCCTCCATACACAGAGTAGACGGGGATGGGCAACTTGGACATTGGCTACCCAAAATGGGGAGCAGGGAGGGCCTACAAAAGCAAGAAGTGACTGGCTTACAAGCTTTCAAGAGGGAACCTAGATCCAGAGGGCATGGAGGAAGGTAGAATCTCCACTGAGTTGTATCCAATCTGTCTAGGCGGGGCTGATGAAATGAAGTGTGGATGAGTCTCTTGTGATACAACAGTGAATAATTGTTATCAGGACTGATTGTGAGGGTTGGAAATGTAAAGGTAGATGTTTTGTAGCAAGGCAGGGAGTGATTAACTTTTCAGTCTAGGAACGGAGGTCCCTGGGACCATCAAGGGAGAAGAGTAGAGAGTAGGACCCTACCAAGAGAAGCAGTGATGCCTGAGATGGAGGCAGAGACAATGACTTGGAGAGATGGAACAGTTGGGGACTTTAGACACAGAGAGGGAGAGGGGCTGTGTGCTGATAACCAGGGGGCAGGCTTGTAGTGTATACCCTTTGGTTGGTTGATGATGCATGGAGGGGATTGTAACCATGGCAAAGAAATTATGTACGATAGGATGAATGTAAAACTAATGTTCTCCAATGTAAAACTATCACATAATTCACAATAAAACATTTAAAAAAAAAAATCAAACAACGTATTGCATTAGTCAAATCTGATGCGCAAGACCTTTTAAAGTGTTGAGGAGTAAAGCTGTCAGTTTGAGGACTAAGGTGTACCTGACCCAAGTCATGGTATTTTCAGTAACCTCATATGCATGCAAAAGTTGGACAGTGAATAAGGAGGACCATAGAAGAATTGATGCATTTGAGTTATGGTGTTAGAGGAGAATATTGAAAGTACCATGGACTGCCAAAAGAGCAAACAAATACATGTCGAAAGAAGTGCAACCAAAAGTGCTCCTTGGAAGCCAGGATGGCCACGCTTGGTGTCTCATACTTCAGACATATTATCAGGAGGGACCAGTCATTGGAGAAGGACATCATGTTTGGTAATGTGGAGGATTGAAGAATAAGCAGAAGACCCCTGACGAAATGGATTGGCACAGTGGCAACATTAATAGGCTCAAATGTTGCAGCAATTGTGATGTTTGCCCGGACTGGGCAGTGTTTTGATCTGTTGTGCATAAAGTCACTATGAGTTGGTACTGACTTGATGACACCTAACAAAACATGTATGTTCAACCTAGCTACCTTTTTTGTTTCTAATATTAAAGTTCGTATTTTCTTTTTACTTTCACAATTTAACATCTCTTCTGTATTTAAGTATTCTGGAAGTAAATATGAATAAAATAAATAAATAAGAAAATGCCATGAATGAATGGTTGGTGTCCAGGATGTGGCTATCTGCTAGGACTGATGTTCCCATTAAGATGTATGCTGGTGAACCAGCTTGCATGGCATTCTCTTGGCTTCCCTAACTCAGTAGGTGCTCCTCACCAGAACATTGTACTTAATCGCTTTGAGTTGCTCAGTCTCGGTTCATCAAAGGAAATAATGATTTAAACAGACAAAGTGTTATAATATAGGACAAATCAATGGGCTGGGGCAGCCCTAAGAGAATAGGCACTATTTGTCTTTATAGTTTATGTTTTCTTTGATTCCTTCCAGGGGTTGTGAAGAAGTGTGTGAGCCCGACCCATGCGCTGGTGGGCTTCAGGTATGGAGACACCAAGGTTGTGCCCACCTCTTGCATCACACCTGTGGGGGGCGCCATGCCCTGCCCAGTGCTCCAGGTACCATACCAGTTATCTATTCTGTGGTCCCTCTTCACCATTCTCAGTGTTTTGGATTACATTGGATACCAAGGCTACTGTTTGGCCCTTTGCTAAACACCCAGTTGTGTTTGGGCAGGAAAAGCCAAAAGCAATGAGCCTGTGAATCACTCATTGCCGGGCATTTTCTTTGCTAATGACCTTGATCATTGATCAGCTAACTCCCCAGTTTGCAGCTCATGGCTTAGCAAACTTGCTTGCAGCACCTTAAAGGCCCTTGTCCCTTTACAAAATAATAGTCGATGGTGGGGGATGGGAGTTGCTGTGAGCAGCTACAGCTCATGGAATTTCATGTGAAGATTTAAATAGCAAAAGGTTATCTTAAAGCTAATTTAATATCAAGGGCAGTTGTTGGGTTCTATCAAGTGGCTTTCAACACCTAGTGACACCAAATGACAGAGTAGAACCTGCCCCCTAGGGTTTCCTAGTCTACAATTTTTATGGGAACAGATCACTAGGTCTTTTCTCCTGTGGAGCCGCTGGGTGATTCACTGCCTTTGAGCTAACATTTAGCTGAATGCTTAACCATTACCCAACCAGGACTCCTTAACAAGACAGAAATTGTGTTGACATTGTAGACAGTCTATGCCAGACTATGATGTACAGTTCGCCCCTCATGCATATTCCCTCATGAACAATATTGGTGTGCCCTCATCCATTTATATAAATGTATAAAAGCTGTATGTGTCTTCCCATCCAACTCCTACTGTCCTAATCCCCATCCCAATGCCAAGGAACCACCTCTAAGACTAGGGCTGTGGGAAATAGGGGCATGTCTCCGAGAGCGCCGTTACACCTGATTGCTGGAGAGTGTGAGCCAGAGGAAAAACAGAGGAGGTGCCAGAAGGTGTAGCATGGTGGTCTGTGTGTGCCTCCTCCCACCAGACCCTTCACACACACCAGCACACAAATTCACAGATGGGTGATCCCCTCCTCTGACAAATGCCCAGCAATCTCTGCTATGTCCCTTTGCAAGGTGTCCCTTCTGCTGTGGAATTCTGCCAGACGTTATCTCTTGATAACTTTTACCCACAAGTTGTAGGTGAAGGTTTTGGAGCAACACTGAACACATGTGCTCCTTTCCTCTGTCTGGGTCCCAGCCCTTCAGATATATGTGGGCGTAGTTCATGTCTCTCCTAGACTTTATGTTAAATACTCCATGTTCCTTCTACCTACCAGTGCATGCAGGATATTGATTGCACTTCCCTCACCATCTTGTTGGGTGTCCTCTGGACACTTTGTCACATGTCATAGCCCTGCTAGAATGCAAGCTTCCCTAAAACTGATCACAAAATTCCCAGTGAATCCAAAGAATATTTAAACTATTTTCTCATTCTATGTGTTCAGTTAGACTGAGGGGGAAAAAAAAACACATTTGGACTTTAGACTCAGTATTTGCTCATCATCTTAGAGTATTTTATTCTACTGCTATTATTCGCATTATCTATAAGATCTCTAAGCATGATATTTGTTACAAAATATTTCTAATATACAGGTCGGAGATTACGTGTTTGCCAAAATTGTGATACCCAAAGGATTTGACTTCTATGTCCCTGCCATTGTCATAGCCCTTCCGAACCAAGATGTACCTGAAGATAAGTTCTACACAGTTTTGAAATGTAACAACCGGAGGGTAAGTAGGTTTTCATTTAGGAAAGGACTTTCTGGCTAGACAGCAAGTGGCTTTTTTATTCCTACTTTTCTTCTGGCCAGTACCTCACTCTTTTGTGACACGAGCAGATGTCTTCAAAGAATGATTTCCCTGGCTGTATCTACTGCTTCCCTGAGCATCGCTCCTTGTAGTTTGAATTCTGCCCTCTCTGCAACACGAAATCTATCCTTACTGAGAACATCATGGCCTCCTAGCATCTGCATCTAATGACCTTTTTGGCTCTTGTTCTGTCTGACTGGGCCGCAAGATTCGACAGCTGGGAATACTCCCTCCTAGCTTCATTAGTGTCCTCCCTGGGTCCTTGCAGCATCGCTCTTGCTTACTTGTCCTCTGACTTTTCAGACTGCTCCTGCCTTATTTAAGCTTCTCTCTCAGCCCTGATATGGTGCTGTAGGATACACACTGAACTGCTAACCACAAAGTTGGCAGTTCAAATCCACCAACCACTCCTTGGAAACCTTATTCAGGGTCGCTATGAGTTGAAACCTACTAGACAGCACTTAACAACTTCCAGCCCTGCAGTTGTGGGTGTCTTCTTGATCCACTCCCTTTCTCTGCCTCCTCATGACCTGTCTCTCTGTGCCAATGGTTGCCATCCCATGCCTGTTCTCTGTGCCAGCTCTGTCTTTCCAGCTGGGTCCTACTAGACACTGCCCTATGGTTAAGCCACAAGCCTCTCAAATGCACATGTCAAAGTCAGTAACCTCCCTTTCCTATAAGTGCATTCCTCCTGCAATCTGGCTCCACAACTCATACCTGACTAGGAGCCTGTCCCCTAAATGGAGAGAGAAGCGTACTCTGGTCAGGGAGACAGAGAGTGGAACAGAGTGGAAAGGACAGGGACTTTACAGGAACAATAGAAGACCTGCAGGTGCGTTTTCTGAACACTCACTCTGCCCTTTATTCTTTGTCTGGCTGTGGGCCAGTTACCTCTCCTCCCTGAACCTCAGTTTCATCACATATAGAATAGGTAGGAAAAAAATTATATTTATGAATGTATGTATATATATATTTATGCTTTGTATATATATGTGTGTGTGTTTGTGTGTGTGTGTAGAGAGAGAGAGAAGAACTCTGGTAGTGTAGTGGATTACAAGTTGGGCTGCTAAACTACAAGGTTAGCAGTTTGGATCTATCAGCTGCTCCAAGGGAGAAAGACAAGGTTTTCTGCTCCTATTAATGGAAACCCTATAAAAGGTTGCTATGAGTCGGAACCGACTAGACAGCACACAGCTGCCATCATATAGAGAAAACCTGGTAATTGTGAGGCTTAAAAATATATGTAAAAAATCTAGTTTCACATCTGATACATAGAGTACTAGGTGTAGTAGACATGAGAGGCTGTCACAGTTATTAGCATCATTCTTGAATCTTTCTTCTTCTGCACTACCCATGACCAGTGAATTGGAGCAAGTTGCTTAGTCTTATCACCTCTCTGTTCATTAACTCATACAATGGATGTTTGTGAAGCACCTGTATTTTTTCTTGGATTGTTTGTCTTTTTTTTTTAATGGATTTGTGGGAGTTCTCTATACCTTCTGAGTAGTAATTCTTGGTGATATATGCTACCAATATTCTCCCAATCTGCAGCTTGCCTTTTCATTTTCTTTATGGAACCTTTGTTGAAAGAAAAGCTTTACATTTTAGTGCCATCACATTTACCCATCTTCCTTTATGAATGGCCCTCTTTATTGTTTGTTTGTTTGTTTTAATTTTTTAGAAATCCTTTTTTACATTAAGGTTGAAACATATTTTCCTATGTATTTCTAAAAGTTTTAGGAAAATGTCTAATCAATATATAAATCTGATTATGTCACTTGCCTGTTTGTTTTCCCCCACAAGACACTTATCATCATTCTCAAGAAAACCCAGCATGACCCCAGCCTGCCTCTGGAGCTTGTCTTACAACCAGCCATTTGCAAAGCTCACAGCTTCCTGAACACAGCAGGCTTTTCCATGTCCCTAGTGTTTTATCTCTTCCTGCACTGCCTACCCATCTCCTTTTCATAGACACCCCGTCACCCTATAGTTCCGCCTGGTGTGACTGTCTGCTGAGGCCTCTCCTCAGGCCTCCCCTGCACATTGGACTCTCCTCCCCCATACCGCCTTTCTCACCATAGTCTCAACTCCTTAGAGCAGAAATTCTGTCTTATTCATCTTTGTGCCTCCAGCACAGCCCCTGGTGAAGAGCGGGTTCTCTCAGTGGAGTTTTAAATCACTTGAATGAATGACATTTTTTAATGGAAATAGCATTCTCCTGATGGGCCACTTAATATACCTGGAAAGAGACTGGCAAGCAAAAAACAGTGTAACACGCAGAATGAACATACCCAGTCAATTCTTGGCTCTAACACTGGGTATTTATTTTCATCAGGGAGATGGTCATGGTAAAGTGACTGCAGGGTTCAGGATAGAGAGTGAAGACCAGTAGAGCCAGTGACTACAGGAGTACTGTATCCAATATGGACAGAGCCAGAGGGGTCAAGGTGCCCACCCATCAATTCAGAAAAGAAAAGAGAAAACCCATAGGGGAATGGAATTTCCTGGGGTTGTGTGAATCACAGAAAAGAAGCCCTTTGGAAAGGCAGCAGAGGGGAAGCATTCATATGGACTACTGGGGGATAGCATGCCCCAGGGTGTGAGGCAAGATTGTTGTTGAGTGACAGCCAATCAATGCCGACTCATAGCAACCTTGTATAGTCTTTCCAAGGAGTGGCTAGTGGGTTTGAACTGCCATCCTTGAAGTTCAAACTGATCTTGTGGTCCAGTGCTTACCCGACAGTACCACCCCAGGACTCTGTGGGGAGAAAGAAGGCCCAGGAAAACTCAGGAAGAGCCTCAGATCCCAAGGGAGGACCTTGGAATTTTCCCACAAGGCCCCTGGAGACGAGAGTGGCATGGTAATAATATTCTGATGGTGACTTTGAGAGACTCAAAGGTGTGGAAGGGGGCATTCAGCAAAGGGACAGTGTGGTTATAGTTACCCAGGGAGGATAAGACCAAGGCTGAAATAGAGATAGAGAGTAGAGTGTATGAAGGTGAGTGTGAACACGTGTGTGTGTGTGTGTGTGTGTCTTCTAATATGGATAGCCATGGCAATGAATCCTGAGTATAAAGGACAAAAACAAACCAACCCACAACTCAAAAATGAATTTTATTCAACAAATATGTATCAAACAAGGTTCTGAATTTTAAATAGCTCTCTATAAATGTTAGCTTGTTAACACTTGGTAGCTACTATAATGGGTCAAGCTAGGAAAAATTATATGTGAATTGTGGACATCTTAATTGAATGAACACTCTTGATATTATTACAGGAATTCTGCCCTCGGAGTGCACTTATTAAGATCAGTCAAAACAAGTATACTCTCTCTTGCTCTCAGATAAAGTCACCCCCAATTCAAGAGGATCCAAAAGTGTAAGTGTACCCAGCTTTTTACTTCTTGAATTATTTATGTCTTTGCACACTAACTGTCTATTGGTCCAAGTTGAAACCCATGGCCTCTAAACCATAGAGAAAAAAGCACAAATAGAGGACCTTCTACTTAAACTGAAAAGCTCAGAGGACTTCCTACCTAAACTGGAACCCTTTCTTCAACACTACATCTTGTACCTGAATTTATTTGTTCATCTAATTCCAGTCACATCTCCAGTATTATTTTACTGGCTCTTCAGAAGGCATTCAATCTTATTATGAATGTGAAAGGATTATCCTTCTTTTTATGTGTAGATTCAAGGCCTTCTAATTGTGTTTAACAAAAAAGTGAAGATTATTTTGACCTCCAGTTGGGAGAGGTCAGCCTCTGCCTCATTCCATGGTTGTGGCAGTGGCAGTGAAGTGCTGACCCTGGCCTGCCTGTGATCAGTGAGTGTGTTTGTTGGTTGTTAAGTTTTAAGTGTCATCAAGCCAGTTCTGAGACCTGTTAACCCTGTATAGGGTTTCCAAGGCTGTAAATCTTTACAAGAGCAGAAAAGCCTCATCTTTCTCCCAAAGAGGGGCTAGTGAGCTCGAACCACTGACCTTGATAGCATTCCAGTGATTATCCTACAGTGCTACCAGCGCATTAGAGGCACTGCAGTGGGTGAACATGTTTCCCTCAGAGGCACTAGGAATTGCTAAGAACTGGAAAGGTGTGTGAAGGCAAAGTCAATAAAAAAAGTTAAGGCCCAGAGAGCAGGCAGAACCCCACGTCCATGGGGCCAAGCATGGGCATCCAGATTGGAGTCATAGAGCCTTGACCTTTGAGGTTAAAGGAGTATCAAAACAGACAGAGATGGATTTGAGCAAAGATTGGGAGAAGGGACCTAGGAAACACCATCCACTTCCACTGAGAGATTTCAGGTTGCCTTTGGGAACCAATCTTCAATATCCTGATGGTTTAACTTTGACTTTAAAACCAACACACAGCATCTCCCTTCATTTCTTAGCCTCCTTTTCTAGACTTCTGAATCTTTACCCCTGATGTCAAAGAATCAGTGTCCCTCTTGCTTAAGGCAAATCTGTCATCCAGGTCCTGGAGGACAGTTCCTCAGTACATAGAGCCCTTGGTCAGTCAGTTATCTCTGGGTTCTTTTCTTTCTTTTGCTCCTTCCCACTGACCCCTTCACCTTCAGTTGAAAAACCAAGTTTGCCTCCCCATGTATTTGCCTACACATGTTCACACATGCGCACACGTGACCTTGTGTATACTAACCAAACTGAACCACTTGCCATCCAGTAAGTGTCAGAGTAGAACTGTACTCTATAGGGTTTTCAACAGCTGTGATCTTTCAGAAACAGATCCTCAGGCCTTTCTTCCTAGGCACCTTAGGGTGGGCTCTCCTTATATACTAAAACAAAAGCAACAAACAATCCCATTGGCATCTAATTGATTCTGATATATAGCAACCTTATAGGACAGAGTAGAACTGCCCCACAGGGTTTGCAATATGTCAACTTTACAGGAGCAGACTGCCACATCTTTCTCTCATGGAGTAGCTGGTGAGTTTGAACCATTGCCCTTTCGGTTAGCAATTGAGCTCTTTAACCACTGCGCCACTAGTGCCCTTGTGTGCAATAAGGACTCCATCTCTCCATCTTTAACACCCTCGTCTGTTCTCCTGTGCTTTCTGTGACTGGAACCTGGGATGGATTTTCTAAAACTCCCCCACCCCAACTCCAGATGGTTGTAATGTGCAGCCAGAGTTGATAAGGACAGAAGGGGCATTGGAAGTGAATGCCTGGGTCCATCTCCCAGCCCCTTTTATACTAGACAGGTTTCCTGTCCTCCGCTAGCTTGTCTCTTCCCTCTTAGGTGTTGCAGGACAAGAGGTGATCACTGTGTATCTAGCATAAAGCAGGTACTCAGCATGTAAGGAATCAAATTAGTCCAGCCATTAGATATTTTTACCCGAGGGTACAGAGAGCATCTCAAATTCAGTAGGATCAGCACTGGACTGCTAACCACAAGGTCAGTGGTTCAAACCCACCTGTCACTCCTTGGAAATCCTATACAAGATTGCTGTGAGTTAGAACTGACTCAATGGCACTTAACAACAACATAACTGAAATCACAGTTCCCCACAAATCTGCTCCCATCTCGGCCTTTCCCATCTCAGTTCATTCTGATATCCACCAGTCACAGAGTTACCCAAGCAGAAACCTTGGAGCCAAATTGTCCCTCACCATTACATCCCATCAGTCTCCAAGTTATATTGATCTTAACTTCTAGATGATTCTCAGTCCTGCCTTGGGTCACTGCTCCCATTTCTGAGGGCCATGCCTCCAGCCTCTTCTGCCATCTGTCTTGTCCTGGCCATCCACCATAAGAACTCAGCCATCTCCCTCACACACACCACTAGCTTCACTTTTCTCTTGTTGTTGTTAAGTGCCGTCGAGTCGGTTCCGACCCATAGCGACCCTGAACTGGGTTTCCGAGACTGTAAATCTTTACGGGAGCAGAAAGCCTCATCTTTCTCCCACGGAAAGGCTGGTAGTTTCGAACTGCTGACCTTGCGATTCACAGCCTGTTTCTCTAGCCACCTTAAACCAGTCCTCCAACCATTCTAAACTACTTGTAGTTTGAGGTTTGCATGAATAATTTCTTTTAGAAAGGTCATCTTGAAGCTGGTCCCTATGAGCCGGAGGTTAAAGATATCACAATTTTCCAACATGTCATACCATTCCATAGTCCTTCATATCAGCCACCATTCCTCTTCTTCTTCAAGTCCCAGGGCTCTGCAGTATGCTGTAACACTTCATAAAACTCACAAATGTCCAACGAAATGGCTCACACATTTGTGGAGGCTGGCAAGTCCCAAATTCATAGTTCAGAGATCAGTCTGGAGGAATCTTCTCACCTAAATTGTCTCAGGAGCTGAGGAACCCAAATCAGCAGTCAGACAACAGGCTGTTGAAGCACGAAGCTTCGAGAGCTGGTGAATCAGGTCAGGTGGTGGGTTGAAAGTCCCATGGACTGGAGTTCAGATGCAATGAGTCAAATACAAGATCCAGGGCAAGATAGTGAACTTCTCCAAAGCACTACAATCAATTAAAGTCAGACCATGTCCCAAGGGAAACTAAGGGTGATGATTTGAATCACACCCTCTAGTATGATAGGGACATCCTCAATCCTTAGTTTCACTGTAAACTTTACTCTTTAACCCTTACTCCTTAGTTAATTCACTTCAGAATAGCCCATGATCACAGACATTGTCACAATACATCATGGAATGGAGAAATTTGGCTAGAAGTGCCATAATAAATAATTAGCCACCATTCAGTTGGTTTGTTTTATCCATACTATGCTTTTTCAAGTCCCTGTGCCTTTCTCTGCATACACTATTCTCCTGAAATGCTCTTCCTCAGCCTTGGTCACCTAGTAGACTCGAAGGTTCAACTCGAGCATCACCACTTGTATGCAATGATCTGGGATTCCAGTCCTCCCACATAGTTAGGGGACTTCTTTGTGTCCTGTATGTTTTTGATGAGACAGAGATTGTCCCTTGTGTTGGCCCATGTTCTTGAATGGTCATTGTTCCTGTTAGACTTGAGTTCTTGAAGGTAGGGCCAGATTTTATCTACTTCTCAAATTCGTGAAGCGTTCCATATATTTTTGGAGTCCTAGTGTGCCGCCATTTTGAGTTATGGTGTTGGAGGAGAATATTGAAAGGGCCATGGGCTGCCAAAAGAACCAATAGATCCGTTTTGGAAGAAATGCAGCCAGAGTGCTCCTTGGAGGCAAAGATGGCCAAACTTCGTCTCTCATATTTTGGATATAGTGTCAGGAAAGACCAGTCACTGGAGAAGGATATCATGTTTGGTAAGGTGGAGGGTCAGAGAAAAAGAGGAAGACCCCCAATGAGATGGATTGGCCAAGTGGCAGTATCAGTGGACTCAAGTGTGGCAACAGTAGTGAGGTTGGCCCAGGATCGGACAGTGTTTTGTTCTGCTGTGCACAATTTCGCTATGGGTGGGTAGTGACTCGATGGCACCTAACAACAACAACAAAAACAGTATGGCGCTGTGGGTTAATGTGCTGGACTTAACAACAACAAAATCTAGTTGCCAGGGTAGCGCTCACAGAATGTGCCCAATGGCTATTTGAAGGATGACCAGCAGTGCTCCTACAGGTGTGCATAGTCCCAAAGAGAGTCTTTCTTTGAGAATAATCATTGAAAATATATAATATAATCTTTCCTTCTTTTAGATGAGTATAGCATATATTCTCTAATGATAAATCTTTTTGTTAATTTCAAAATTCTACTCCAGCAATAGTTATCCAAATTATAATACATTATAAAGGGATATGTGTCTAAGTATTATCTATTTTTACTAAACTTAAGGTCATCAATCATTCTAGAATAAAATTTAATTCTTTCTACTTAGGTAAAAGTCTTTTTTTTTTTTTTTTTTTTCCAATTTAGTACTACCTCAGGCCGTATTTAAAACTCTTAGCTGCTAATTGTATGTAATCTGACACAGTGGTTAAAATGTTAGGCTGCTAATCTAAAGGTCACTGTTTATTGTTTACCCTGTCTCCTAGGGTTTTACACAATAGAAGCTTTCATTGACCCCCAGTGTCCCTATGGTCATTTCCAGTATATTTTGCACTAGCTTTTAATGCTCTTAAGCAAAGGTCATGCTCAAACAAAATTCAGAGCTTAGCCTGCCTCTGCTTCTATAATCAGGACTAGTAGAACTGAGCACACTGCATAAAGGCATAGATTTTATTTTATATCTACACTGGGATTTCCTCCTAGTCAGTCCTTTCTCATCAGGATTGCTTTCTCACGTACATTACAAATATGTCAGCTCCCTGTGGTGGTTCTTTAGTGCAAGTTCACACCATTACATCAAATTATTGTTAGGTACCATTGAGTGGTTCTGACCCGTACTGACCCTATCTACGTACAACAGAACGAAACAATGCCCAGTCC